GCAGTCGGGCTCTCTAGTGAGAATCCCTCACAGACCCCCTCTTAATGGAACAGAACTGGGTCAGTCCAGTTTCTTTGGCGGGAATTGCCAAGCAGAGGTCTCTCACTTGGAAGAATCACTGAACGAGCCGAGAGGAGAGGCCCCCTCGACCCACAGTTGCTCTCAGGCAACGGGTCGGCTGACACAGTGAAGAAAAACAACAATCCCTTCCTTTTCTGACAGCTGGAAGTGGAACATTCCCTACTAGATAAATACGATATATCGAATGACCGCACTTGGTGGTTTTACATGTTTCTCTAACCTAAATGTATGTTTCGCTACCATTTTTCCAATTACAGACCACAGATAATGTCTTAATATTGTTTACGCCTTAAAAATATAACAAAATGGATTTTCACTTTCCCTTTTTTTTTTTTTTGAAGAAGCAACATTTGGCTAAAACATGCAAAACCACTTGTATGATCCCTCAATTAACCCCATCTGGTCCTCTGCTAAACCCTCCTCCGCTTGTAGTCTGCACACGTTAACATACCATGTGGCATACCTTTAACAGAAGACACAAAACGTGTGTGAAATGGTGTTTGAATCCGATCTATTAGTTCGGCCATCCTCCTTTTACCCGTGGCACAAGTCTGGGAAGCGGGGAGCATCTTAACTGTGAGTCTCCGTGGAAATACTGAAGAGTTTCTGTAGATGTGAGTGTGGACCTGTGAGACATGGACAGGACTGGAGGTTTGTGTGAGTGTGTGTGGGTGTGTGTTCAGTATAAATTGTGCTGATGTAAATAGTGGAAGTAATCACAGATGAACCTTGAAATATACTGTATATTAGTGTTAAATTCCTCAGTAACTATTTATTGATAATTTATCGATACATCAACGGCTTCCAACAAAGACAAGTTCAGGTCAACTTTTGTCCCCGTGTCGTCAAACAGACGGCTCGACCGGATGGTATTGATCAATGTGTGGTTTTGTGATTGGCTCCAACCTGATCACGGCGTTATCAATCAACTCAGTAACCAACGGTGGCTTTTTTTTTCTTCCTGGTTTGATTCATAGTCGTTGTTGATTTATTGTGTAACTGAACGCGTCCCCGTTGTGTCTCCCCAAACGGAAAGAAGAAACTGAACTGTGTCGTTGTGTGATGTTTTTGCTGCAGCTTTGGCTGAATAAAGTCTGAATTTGAACATAGCAACGTCTTTAGTGTGTCTGTGCGTGCGTGAGTGCACGCCCTTCATCTCTAGTGTGGTTAATGTCACATGTCCACGCTCCTGCATGTCTTCATGGTGTCCCTCGGGGCTGGAAATGCACGTGAAAACATCACAGTTCAGTCTATCAAAATCCATTATGAATAATCTTCTATGAAATACATTCGTTTAGTGTTTTTCCTATGAACACTACGTTTATTCAGCACTGTAGCTTTTCCGTATGATATTCTCTCCTTTACGTTTTCTCCGATCAGATTTGGTTTCCTTAGCATCTCATTTATTGGAGATTCCTTTGAGCATAAATCATACAACTCATGAAACCGACCGGCTGTCACCACAAGAGGGCCATAAATGCACACGTTAGAAGTCTTATCAGAATATCTTTGAACTATTAAACATTTCAATATATTATGCTGAAGGGAAATACATTTTACCAAAGTACTTTATAAAAAGGAAATTACTTGAGTAACTGATTTTGTATACATTGAACCTCTATACACGCCTCAAAGTAAGAGACTTTTATTCTCCCAATAAACAACTATCAAATATGTGAGCTTGTGGTTGTTGAGCTTCTTAGTGATGAATGGTTTTAGTTCTGTGTGTCCGCTGACCAAATACCACAAAATGAGACGTGTAAAATAACTGAAGACTCATAAATCCCCTTTAAAGAGAGAAAAGCAAAAGGCGGTCTGGCTTTTTGCTTCTCTGTTGTTGGGGGGGGGGGGGGGGGGGGGGTCCATTGTCTCGTATAACCGGTTATGATTCTTGCATTTAATAAAACATGCCTGGAGAAGATCTGTCACTGTGTCCGTGTGAGGCCACGGAGTCAGTTAAGGTTGACGCACAGCTGGATGAAGAGAGGAGGGAGCGTGGGATCTGCTCTGAGCCTCTAAACATGGGGGGGGTTCTGATAGTGAGCATGTGTCACATTACGACACAGCAGCCCGGTGACTCCCAATGAGTCTGGACTTTTAGCCCTTTTTACAGATGGAAGTCAGATTACATGATGCACAAACTGTTCAAAGAATAAACATACTGTTCTGCTGGATTAACGTATAATTAAACATCACATCTTGAAGAACAAAATGTTTAAATAATATATATATATATATATATATATATAATATATATTATATATATACATATACATACAAATGTACAGTGTGCCTCTGTTTTCTCACAAAGCCAAAGAAATTCAACGGAGGAAAGAACCTAGAAAGTTGGGACAGACTGTTCCAAACATGCCGTCGCCGTTTTACCAATCAGAGATTCAAACCGCCGACTCTCGGGCGTGATTGCCCAAAGCCAGCGGCCGTGCACGCTGCACAGCTGGACCCGTTTGCATTAAGAAGGGTTGGAGTTTACACTCATCTCAAAGCAAAGCTGCTGGATACCACTCGGTCAGATTAATCCGTGTTGGAGCAGAGGTCACCAGGGTCACCATGTATACGAGCTGGCGAGATGAGGAAAACTAGAGAGAGAGCGCGAGAGGGGGATGAATCGACACAATATGGAGAGCAAAGGGAAGGGAAAGTAACAGATGGATTTGTGAGGATTAGAGAAATCTGGGGTGGGTTTCTGATGGAAACTCGCCCAAGACAGAGGAATATGTGATGAGGGAGCGCAGAAGAAAGGTGAAGGGAAACCGAGAGCCCCGTCCGAGGCGCCGGCAGGGGAACACGGTGAGTCGTTTTCTCACTTTCTGCTTGGCTGCTCCAGAGGGAGCTGATCAGATTATTCAAAGCCTCAAAACTGTGTTTCAAATGGCAGAGGACATCCTAGCGTAAGATTTTATTAGGGGTCGTATTTGTGGAACAGTATTGTATTATTAGAACATTTACACATTTATTACATATTATAGGAATATTTTGAATATGTCACTCATCCTAAACATCGTGTAGGTTAGTTGGAAAATACATTTTTTATGTTACTGACAGAAACGCTGAAACTGCTGAAAAGCATTGACTGTAATTAAAAAGTGGATCTATTCGCTGCGACGTCACCGTTGGTTTGTGCAGTGAAGGTTTGAAGCCTTGAGTTGGACATCATCAACATTGCCTGCTTGCTTTTTGAAAACACAATGTCAAAGTTGTAAAGTTGTAGGACGAAAACACATATAAGCGATGGTGGGGTAGCAACATGTCAGTCACACGGTAGCCCCGCCCACTATCATACCCCCGCTTTATGGTCTATTTGACTAAATTTACCATAATTCACTAAATGAACATCATGCTGTATTGAAGACGACTTGAAACTAGAGACTGAGACCATAAACTCATGTTTACAATGTTTACTGAGGGAATAAATCCAGAGAGAAGTAGTCATAGACGTCTATGGGAGCACAGGAGTCACTACAGAGAAGGCAGTATTAAAGCATTTAAGAATTGGCTTCACTTCTCAGACCTGGAGGTTGACGCCTGCTGAAGGGAGAAACCGATAACATCAACTGCATCATGATATGATGCTGCAGATTGACCTCTGACACCCGCAAGCCAAACTGTTGGTTGAAGGCCCCTCGTCCTCTTAGCAGAATGCTGCTTGGAAATCTAAACCCTTCCAAACACAGCACACCGTGTTCAAAGATCTGGAGAAGCAACAAGCAATAACAATAAAACAATGTTCAGTGACTCAGCTCTTCTTTTCTTAATCTTCCTTCTTTACTTTCAGGGGTCGTCCAGACAAAGACAGCATGAGATTCACTTGACATTAATCCTGCAAGATTACCAAAGATTACCAAGGCCAGAGGTAGGCCTGAAATACAATCCCTCCTAGAGAGGTGGAGGAACAGGTGGAAGAAGGGGATGTGCCCTCGGAGCGCGACTGATCCGCAGGATAAGATTAAGGCATCCATCCTCGTCCAAGAAAAGCAAACGTCATGAACCAAAAACCAGAAGAAAGATGATAGGAAAATGGGGTAGTGCTGCGGGTCGGCGACTAGAAATGGCCTCGTGCCGTAACGTCTAAGAGACAAGGAGGTCTCGAATTCAAAGGCCATGAACTACTTTCCTGGATTTCTTTGACTGCAGCTGGAGCGGGAGGAGAGCCAGAGTTCCTCCTCTGGCCTGCACATCTGTCTGTGTCTTACTGGCAGTGATTAAATCCCCCGCTTTTCATCTTTCTGTGTTCCACTCTCCGCTCTCAGCCTCCCGTCTGTCGACCGCTCGCCTTTCCTCAACTCCCCCAGCCCTCCCTCCATCCCCGATCCCTCCGCCGCCCTCTTTGAATCACTTCTGCGCTCCACGACAAACAAATCCCGATTAGTCAGCAGAAAACCTCAGAGGGCCGAGACCTCCGAGGCACTCGAACAAGTTTCTCCCGGGCCTGTCGACCCCACGGCGAGAAGCGACGATGCTGGAGAACATGTCCAGACGTAACCGCTCCCTGCTGTCGCTCTCCCTGACCTCCATGGCCCTCACGCTGTCCGTCTGGGCCTTCTGCACCTCCTATTGGTGCGAGGGGACGCACAAGGTGGTGAAGCCCCTCTGCCTCTCGCCCGTCAAGTTGAAGAACTGCGGGCAGAACGACAGCCAGCCGTACACCACAGGTGAGGCCGGGAGGCAAAGCCTTCAGGCGCCACCGACGCGCAGGTGCTCAGAAACCCCAAAAGGTTTGACCTCAGATTCGTAGATCTCTTGTAACTCTGCTGCGGGCTCATAAGGTGCTGGTGATGCAGAACCCGACCCAGCTAGAACCCCCCCGAGGTAGACCGATGTTAGCGCCGTTAGCTGCAAACAACCAGCTCAGCCATGTTGAGAGCCATTTAGAGGCAATCCCCCACTGCTTCAGCAACTTTATCTTATGAATTGAATCAATTGAGTTTCGTTTAGCACGTTTTCCATTTTATATTCTGAACTCTCAATTAGATTTGGTAGAAAGTTTGGACGTAATTAAGAATGATGTAGACCCTGTAAATGTGTAAAAGAGGGACTATTGCACTGACTTGACTGGCAACAGTCTGGCAAATGTTTCATACTAAATAATGCAGGTGGAATTTTAAAATATTTCACGTACAGTATATGAATAATGTAATAATGTAATTGTAATGTAACTAAGTACTTGCAGAGATTTAAAATGAGACTTTGTGGTATCCACAGCATTTCTGTTGCAACTCATATTCAAGTTTTCAACTGATTTGACTGGAGGAGATTTGCATAATCCCGACTAATCTCAGAATTGTGTATTTGCATCTGCATGTTATCTGGAATCACTCACCCGCTGTCTTATCGCTCAGCACTGAGCCTATGACAGATTACCTGACGGGGGGTGTTTCAGGTCCGGATTGTGTTTCACTCCGTGAACTACAGAGACCCTCCCGGGATTAAGAGGTTAAAAAGGCTCCCGAACTACCACGACAAGAAACAACGCTCTGTTTCTGCACCTCTTCCTATTTCTTTACTTCCTTACTCCTTCATTTCTTCGCTCCACCCAGAGGCCCCCACCCCGGACCCCAGGCAGCAGGCCTCCAACGTGACGCTGTCTCCGCTGCAGAAGGAGGAGCTGGCCTCCACCAGGAGGAAGCAGATGGCCAACGCCGTCCAATACATATGGGAGACGGGCGAGGACAAGTACATGCTGCGCTACTTCCACACGGGCTTCTGGCTCTCCTGCGAGAAGCACAATGAAGGTGTGTGTGTGTGTGTGTGTGTGTGTGTGGAGCGCACAGCTCACTACACACCTGGGTTTGTACTCTAAGGTTCAACCTTAAGGATCCTTGAAGGAAAGGAATCACTAGCACGCATTGTTCACCTGAAAGACACTGTGACTGGTTGACATTTAATACTTTCTCCCAAAGGCATTTAAACTGTCGTGCTCAACAGACGCAGTAGAGATTAGAGATTCTAGTTCATCTCGCCCCTAAAACTACGCAGCCCTAATCCCTGAGCTGTTGTTGTGGCAGTGAGCACAGGCATACGTTGTAATGATGGTTCAGTAATATTCAGAGACAGAGATGTAATATTTTAACATGATAACAACATGAATCAGTGACCTCGTGTTCAGCGCCGTCACTCTTCTGTGCGATTGTTCCTCCAGGTGAAGATCAGGAAGAAAAGTGTCGCAGCTTCATTGAGCTGACCCCCGGAGAGACACAAGGTCAGTAACAGTGTCTCCACCACCAAAAACCAAGTATCTAATGTCGTCACTTCCTGTACTAATACCAAACTGTGCCTGCTTTCAAAACCTCACGTGAGTCAAAGCACATATCCGTAAAATGTACTTTAAGCATGAAATCAAAGTGTTCATTGTCCCCTGGATGAAGAGTCTGGTTGATCTTCCCCTGTTTTCTGCTTTGTGAAGATTCATTTACCTGCAAATCAAGAGGTTTCTCTGAAATAGGCATAAACGAACTGTTATAAACGGGCAGGTGGGCCATAAACAACACAATCAGCCAAAGTAAGAAGAACAAACAGAAGCCTTGAGTGAATCATTCAAATCTACAGTGAGACGTTTTGTCCGCCCGCAGGTGTCCTCTGGCTGGCGGTCGTCAGTGAGTTCTCCTACATCGGCCTGCTGGCCATGGGCTTCCTGCTGATGTGCGTGGAGGTGATCTGCATGTGCGCCAAAAGGGAGATGAACGCCCTCAAGTTCAACGCCTTCGCCGCCATGTGCACCGTCCTCTCAGGTGGGGAGTCGGGGGGGGGGATCTTCTCTCTGAATCCTCCTGTGGCTGAAACCAGCAGGAAAATGTTTTTGCTCTATTTTTCCCTCCTCCCTCCCTCATTCTCTCACATACGTATTTGTGTTGCCCCACCAGGTTTGATGGGCATGGTGGCACACATGATGTACACCACGGTGTTTCAGATGACCGTGAGCATCGGGCCCAAAGACTGGAGGCCACAGACCTGGGACTACGGATGGTCTTTTGCGTCAGTTTCTTCCAATTTCGACCCCCCAAAAATATAACTTTATCAGCTTAAACTGGGAGATGTTGCTGCAGAAAAGAATATATGATCTCTAACTTGGAGAATTGTGTTTGTGGTGTTAATACCCGAATGGCTTTGGCCTGCAGTTGTGATCTCCCGGCTCGTTTCTCCCTCCCCAGCATGGCGTGGCTGTCCTTCAGCTGCTGCATGGGGGCCGCCGTGGCCACGCTCAACTCCTACACCAAGACCCTCATAGAGATGAAGCGCCGGGCCCGGGTGAGGCTGGACGAGGCTCGCGCCGCCGCCTGCGCCCCCTCCTACGAGGAGGTCCTTCGGGCTGGAGGGAGCGTCTACTCCGTCAGTCAGCT